TTTAAAGAGAGGAACAATGTCTCGTGTGCCCGAACGCGGCATAATACGAAATAAATTATTTAATAAAATTGAAAATGCAGCTTAAAATATTAAGGATCGGGAAGATGTGATAAAAGTTTTAAAATCGATACCTTGTATTAAGTGAGAATGAAATCCAGGCCGGTAATTCAGTCATGAATATCCCATTAGAAGTGTAAAGCACTCTTTAAAAACATATAAGCTTATGCAATGGAACTTCCTTATCTCGGGGCCAGGAGCAGATCCTCAGACACAAGCAGAAAAGATGGTGGAAAGAGAAGGCGACTGGGGCGTGAGAGCAAAAAGGCAAGGAAACGAGCAAACAAGAAGGAAGGAGCGCCGATCGGTTCATCGCGCCGGCTTTTGTTGCCACGACGCTGCGCTCGGCCGATATAAATCTGCAGTTTGCATAAATCTGCAGGCGACTCTCCCGGAGATGATACGGAATCCGATGGCAAGCTCCGCTACAAAGTTCGCGCGCCCAAGCTGCGATTTTATTCGGCGGAACAAACGGGTTAATCTCGGCGAGGGCAGGAGCTCGTTCCTCTTCCGGTCGCTTCCAGGTGTCCTCGGCTCTTAACTGTTCTTTTTCTCCTTCCGCTTACTCCTTTTGTAAATGAATTTTCAAACGAAGAAGTACGGTAATCTCGATGCCCTATATTACTTTACAATGAGATCTTTCACTTTCCTTATTGCAGCCGCTTGCAAATATCAATTAATTCGAAACACTCTTCTTACACTTGAGCATTCAAAACTTCATTATGGGAATTCATCCAACGGCATATATTTACAAATATACTTAACAGCGATAATTCTACTCGCTGATGTGCTTATTATAAACAATTGCATCAGCGACCCTTGAATACCAGAAATTGAAATTTAATAATTTAATTTACATGCTGTCGGTCAACTGTTTCGCAGGAGCTTGGCAATTTTGAAATAAATGAAATAAATATGGACAATACTTAGTTAAATGGATTATATATATACGGACTATTTATTCCCTTCCCATTTATTACTTTTTCCCTTCCTTCGAATATCCTAGCTTTTATATGAAAGTTGGCGTCACTCAATACTTCCTGTAAAGGCTCTTGAATACGACTTTAATGAGAGTGAGAGAGAGAGAGAGAGAGAGAGAGAGAGAGAGAGAGAGAGAGAGAGAGAGAGAGAGAGAGAGAGAGAGAGTGTCACGAAATGGCAGGATGACTTGGAAATTTAGATGGCTAACCCAATGATGCAGAGAGGGATCGTTTTCAACAAGGTAATTCGGGTCGTATAACTAAAAAGAGTTAGTTGTATGCAGCCGAGATTCCTACATTTTAAGAATATTCCCTTATTTTTATGAGAATATCCAAGAATTTTCATGCAGCGTATTTAATTAATTTTACTTTAGATCGATTGAGTTCATTAGATATTTAACATTATGCTATCGTAATTTCATAATTTGAAGTATGTAATTTAATATACGCGTGCATCTGTAATTATATACATAACATATAAACTCATTTTGCTAACAATTAAAAATTATTTTATAACGTTCTGATATGCCAGAGTTATTAAAAATTCCCCTTATTTATGATTAACCGACTTATCAAAGAAATCTTAATTAAAATTTTATAAATTCATTTAGTTTGATAATAATCATTAAAGTGTATTTTACTAACTCAATCTTTACTGAACATATTTCTTAATTCAAAATGTATAATTCATAACTTGATGTAGTAGTTAGAGAAAATTAATTTATAAGACGAATTGCAATTTGCTTTAGATATCTTGGATTAATAAATAATATCATTATTTAATGCTTATAATAATTTAGATGAGAGTATATTTAGGACTCGTTTAATTTATATGAAACATCGTTTCTCGTTTCTCACACTCTCGCTTTATCATATTATGGAATATCAGACCCGAACCATCTTAATTCTTAAAGGACTAACTGTAAACTTATATTCCGTACCCGATGTATATATTTCACTGATCCTAAAGGATTAAAAATTTTTTTAATCTTACTCTTCTAAAATTATATTTTCGTTCGAGGCTTTGATATTATTATTTTTTAGTTATTTATTTATTTATTTTTTTTTTTTTTTTTTTTTTTTTTTTTTTTTTTTTTTTTTTTAAGGATTAATGCTCGTGAATTTTATAATAAATGACAATGGGAGATAAATCATATAAAATGCAACCTATGTCATCATATATCAATTGTACATCTTTAAGAATAATTAAGCTGCAGAGATATAAAGAATTTCTTCGCTAAGAAATTGCAAGACAATTCCTATTAAAATATAAAAACAAAAATATAAATACTTAAATATTAGTAATAATCTTAGCTCCAGGTTAACTATTATTAACCGAGAATCGTAAAAGACTTGCAGGCACCGATTATTACAACATCATACAGAATCATAACAATATCTGCAAGAATAGCAAATGTTCAAGCTTTCTTACTTAAAGCGATTATGTACATCTAAAAGATTTTCAGTTTCATATTCAGCAAAGATATTGAGTTCCTTAGTGGAATATTTTTAGTAAAACGTTCAAGCGAAGAAGAAAAGCTCTCCTATTCACTCTCTCAATTTCTCGAATAGGTCATGAAGAGTAGCACAATGACGCCATTCCTTTTTCACGTTATATAGAATTCATCCAGAAATTTACCTCTTGGCCATCCAGCAGTGGTATTCACTCGCCGAAAGTGGTACTTCGATCCCTGACAAAAGCATCACCTAATGTAATGCCCTCTTGCGGTCAATTTATCCTAGTTATAATTTATCGTCGTACGTTCATTATCACTTTTTATTTTCTTGGCTAATTTTCATCTCTTTGTTGCACGTACAGCTGCTTATTTACAGGCTTTTAAAATAAGGTGAATTTCTATTTCATTATTATTCGGTGATTTAACGATCGAATGGGAACGGCATGTCTTTGAATTTTATAAATTGCTCGAGCATTCGAGCGCGTCGATACTGCATTCTAACAGTCAGGAATGTAAGGGAGAGGATTTATTTCGTTGTTAAAGAGATTTTTGGTGATTATTAACCAAGCTTACACCATATTATAAACGTTCTAATACAATTTCGTTACTAAAATTTATTAATAAATATTAATTATAATTTTATGATAGAATTCAAATCATAGTAAATTATAATGACAATGTGATAGGAAATGTTGATGATTTGTTGTATACTTAAATGCAAAATATACAAAATTATACAATTATATTAGTTATTTGTGATTTAATTCATTGACATATAAAGTGCATGACATATTACATATTTAATGTTTCTTATGGATCAATTAATACGACAGTGTCGGTCATTAAGTGTGACACTATTTGCTATTTTTACCTTATAAACTCTCATACGTCTGTTAGAAATTTATTTATACAAAATATTTTAAAACAATTGTAGAGAGCATATAAAAACATAAATTTTCAATGCAATTCAATTTGTCCCTTTATCATTAATAAAACTATATTTATCTGTGAATAATTCCACAATATTTTATAATATTTCTTTGGCATTTCTCTTTGTCCCTCCCTTGACTCTTATATCTAATGGCATTAAGTATTTTACAAGCTGATAAGTAAATAATGTGTTTCATATTTCTTTTCTCATTTTTATCTTTATCTTTGTGATGCTCAATTTATTTCCTCAGGAAAGTCGATCTCCTGCACCTGATTAAAATTCGCGGGAAGCTCGTGTAGAAGATAGGTATTGATGGAACATTTTCTCACGCGATAAGGACGCGAAAATAATCTTGCCACTATTTGTTTCTACCTCCTGTACTCCTAGTGTCTTATAAAATCAATATTTCATCATATTACTTAAGTGGAAATATATTTGTGACAGTATGTGTGGAAGAATCGGTGTATTTTATTCGAATTGAGCATTAATCAGCTACTCTATATAACTATAAAATTTTATTTAGAATAAATTTCCTAATTAAAGAAATATTATCTATAATATAAGTAATATAGATTTCTTTAGCGTTATAATTATTAATAATTAAAAAAATTTTATTTTATAACTTAACCATATATAACGTATTAAAATATTATTATAATTTCTCTTTAAATAGTACGCACGCGCATGTGTATATTGCGCATAAACTTAAATGTACATGAAAATAAATACAAGCCTAAATGTTTATATAAAAAATTAGATGATAGAAAAAAAATTAATGTAAATAAAGGTGAAAAATTGTTGGAAACTAGTTGACAATGTTGTTTTTGGCAGAAATTCACGAAATTTGAACGTTATCATTCATTAAAACTATCCACAATTTCCCCTACATTTTTCTGCTAAACCGCATACCTATAATTTGTGCGTCAGCTCGTATTATTTGATAATATCGCAGTACTTATTATTATTATATTCCATGCAGAGTCACGTTTATTAATACGTAACTGTAGTAATTCTTTAATTCGGAAAAATTGTATTTTCACTGTAAATTAATTACAGCTTGAAATAAGGAATTGAAATATTCATTAAATTTTTATCGATAGAATGCTTATTCCTTTCAATAGAACTCATCGACTAGTCGATTAACATGTAGCATTAGATAATTTACTGGTAAAATTCATGATAAAAAATTTCTCGAATATGTATCTTTTATTTTACTCGTTGTAATCTACGATCTATAAAAGAAATACAATTGTTTTACTCTTAGGTATCGATCATCATGAAAGCATAATATGTAATAGAATGATTCATAATACATAATACGCGAAAACATTACTAAGTATTTCTTATTTGATAGACATAAAAAAAAGAAAAATAATGTAATTAGAGTGAGTGCAATATGAATGACACGCCTGATATCAAAGAACATTTTGATATTATTTATCTAAAATATTGTTCCAGACGGCTCATACATTAATGCTGAACGTAGATTAACGACCTTTTGCAGGTCTTATAGATTGTCGTCGCTGAAATAAATAACGACATTCTCTAAATTGCTCATTTTATTTTATTTTTTAGCTGGTGAATGGTTTAGATGGGCCGCGGTACATCTGCGAGACGGAGGTGATGGAGCAAGTCGCGCTCGCAGCCGCCAACGTCGATTACGTCTCCCCTGGGAGTCACACAAGCAAAAACGCCGACGGGAACATTATCACTCTGACGCTCAAAAATAACCACCTCATCGTCGAGACGGAGGAACGTGCTGTGAGTTTCCCTTATATTCTCCCTATCTCTACCCGAGATACTCTTCTGTTTCTACGAATTGACAAAAAACTTTACCTTCCCGCGCTTCGATTTGTGTTTATAACCACTGCGACGAAATCTACGCGTCTTTGTCTCCCTCCATATTCTTGACTAAGTACTTTTTATCGGACAGGAAACGCTTGGTCTTAAAAGCTCGTTAGCTGCAGTTATTTTATTTAACATAATCGGGGAAATTACTCGAAACTTGCCGGAAGCTATATTTTCGTGCAATTCTGAACCTATAGCTTTTGCAAATTTTTCATGAAAATTTTTGATGAATTACCACTCCCTTTATATTCATCGGATATTCCTTATGATTATTTATAATTCTCACTACGCGCCAGTTTATTAATGATGATAATCCTAATTTATAATACAATGAGTATGTAAAGAGGAAAAAGTCTCGAAACTTTACATTCATTTATGTGAAAAATTAAGTTTCATCTTAAATTTCATAACTACAAAAAGTCTAGTCTTATCATTCCTTTCTCCACCCCCTTCCCCTCCCCCATCTCCCTCCCCAATCCCATCACCCACTCCTCGTTCAAGCACTGCATTTTAATCAATGTAAATTTATGCGAAAGCAAAAGTAGGAGTTTCTATTTCAAGCTTATGTAAAAGTCGTTTTGATAATTAACTGCGAATTAAGAAATTATAAGTTCCGGAATATTTGAAAAGTTTAGAGACGAAATGCATCGTGGAGTCTTTTGTAGTTCCTTGTATTGGCATCGTCGAGGAAATATATAGGACGACCCGAGGAACGGAGAAAGTCCGATTCGTGCAATAATTCAATGCTGTTTTCGGCGTCCAATGGGGATAGGCGCAAGCGCGGCTACTCGAGCCACGAAGATGCTCTGAAGCAATCTCGAAGCTATCGGTCGGATGCTTCGAAAGCACAAGAAAGACACAGAGAATCCATTATTGCCGTAAGACGATGGAGAAGTCGCGAATCTTAAGTTTGGACCGAGAATATATATTTCCTACTGATCGTGTTCCTATGTGATCGAGCGCATACGCTAAGCGAAATGGCCTTTAACGACATTTAATTGACTCGAAAGGCTTTAGGAATCATTTGTACAGACGATGGGCCTTAGTTAGGCACTTGTTTGTTATGGTGGAAGGACTTGACAAACGGGTAAGGAAAAATATGTTATATCAAAATGTACGTATTGCTAATCTAAAGGTATTCGAAATGTTTTAAAATAAATTATTTTCAATTATAATTACATTCGAATGTATGATTATCTATTAAAAGTTGCTCGATAAAAGCTTTATTTTTGAAACTAAATTTAAAACTAATTACAAAGTAATGTGGAAAAGTTTGAAGGAGGAAAAGCATTTAGCCAGCTAACAGCGCAGGAATTTTAATTCAAACGCCAATTAAACTTAAAGTAACAACATTCTTTCGATAATTTATATCTCGAATAAATTATGCGATGAACTTGAATTAGTAGTCACTTCGTTTTGATTAAAAATGCGAGAAAGCAGGCCGAATTCGAGAATCTCTAGCTGGTATATGAGTTTAGAATAGCAGGAGAAAAGTTTGCGTGTTAAAACTGAGGGAGAAGGAGAGTAGGAGTAAGGTCGGTTGGGATAAATAAAGGCTGAAATAAAAAATTCGAGGAGGCAAAACGGAAGGTATGAGGTAGAGCTTTATCGTTGGATAAGGAATGTTCTTAGAATTATCGAAGCTCGAGGACGTTGATAAGGTCGAAGGTTACCAGACAATTTCTCCATTCCACTTGCTTCGGCTTACCTATGTCAATACACAACACATCACAAAACCATACAGATATACGACGTTCGTATTACTGAGAATTTGCGGAATTTGAGAAAAAATATCTATTCTCGTAAACTCGTATTCGTACCTCCTGTGTTTGTGTGCGTGTTTTTGTGTGCGTGTGTTTGTGTGCGTGTGTTTGTGCGTGTGTTTGTGCGTATGAGTGTGCGTGTGCGTGTGCGTGCGCGCGCGCGCGCGCGTGTGTGTGTGTGTGTGTGTGTGTGTGTCGTAAGATACATAAGAACCAAGTCGAAGATGGGTACAAAGGATGACCAAACGATCGAACAAGGAAAGGGCGTGGAGCTTCTTTCTCTTACTCTTTGTGACGCTTTACCGCGTCATCGACTAAAAAATATCTACATTACCAAGACAATTGGCCACTAAAATGTTCTTTCTCAAATGATATAATTTTCATCATATTCATTAATATCGCAGAGATCTATCGCGTCTATAGCATTGATTAAGTACGTAACGTTCAAGTAGTAAGTCAATGGAGAACTTCGGATGCAGGGTAATTATAGAAAATTGCTCCAGCGTTTATTCGAAAGATTCCCAAGAGTATCGTTATCAATTTTAAATTGACAATTTGACATTTGACATTTTGATAAATAACATGAATTGGTGTTTGAAGCCCCAAATCTTCTCAATTCTTAATGCAATAGATAACCTGAAAAGTGTAATGTTAGGAATAAAAGGCCGAGTATTTTTATTGATTTTCATAGGTTTTATCGTTGCAATTGTTGAAAATTGAGTTATCATAAAGCTAATAATTATACGATATTTATACTGAAAAATTAAAAATTACGTAGTAGGAAGTAAGAAAGAAATAGAATTTAGAAGATTTTGTAATCGACAATAAACAAGAATAGCCGTTTATTAAAAATTACCGTAAAGAATTCAGAAAGTAATTCTTAATTCTTTATTGGCTTTATAATTTTTAGACGCTATAGTTTACTCTTTCTTCTAATTTACGATTACATTAATTTCATTGACGATTTATTATCGTTTTATTTATCGGTTAATTATTTTATCTAAGCTGAAGAGAAACAATATAATCTAATCGCTCCTAAAAATACGTCTATAAGTTAAAATTTAATTGCTTACTGTTACAGCTTTTATAATTACAATAAGCAATATGATACCTTCAACATATAAAGAGAAAACTGATAGAATCCATGTGAGATGATATGTAGATTTAATGGTGTTACAAGTCGCGTTCTATTGTACAGTACTTAAGTAACTCGTTTAACGCACTTGAACGAAAGAAAGTTGTAGAAAAATTTTCATTGCAAGAAAAGAAATTATGTAGGAAATACAATAAATCTCTTAAATCATATTATATGTTAAATTTAAATGTAATTGTGATTGCCAGTATATTGGAAAAGATGGAAGAAGAAAGAGTGAAAGGTTCAGGTATGATGGTGATTGTAAGTATTTACCGAGTAACTCGAGAAAAAGCAAAAAAAAAAAAAAGGAAAAAGAAGGGAACGAAGCTTAATAATATTATTTTTTTATATGGCTTTATATATATATATATATATATACTCGGGAGTTTAGTTTTTAATTTACTAATTTGATAATTAAGGCATACTTAGTTGTGAAAAAATACAAAATAGTATAGAATTATCGTTCTCGTTGTCGTTGTCGTTGTCGTTGTCGTCATTGTTATTGTTATTCTTGTCGTTGCAGTTGTTGTTAGGATCGACGGCATTATTATTATATTTACTTAGATCAGCTAGGCTACTTAAATAAATATATACATTGAAAGTAGAGATCAAATATCGATGAAAATATAAATAAAAAAGTTTATTGGATGTAGGAAAATTTTTGCATGATTTTAAAAATAATCATCTTGACACAACTATAAATGCTCTGAATTTATAATACAATCAACTAGTTTTATTTTTGTATATACAATATTCAATACTCGGACGACTCACTGTAATATAAAATTATAATAATCCGATCACCTTCACATAAAATATTATAATATATATTCACTAAATATATTCACTAAATATCATGATTTATTAATTCAATGTCACAAATTTATTTGGCCGTGAAATCATAATAATGATATACACAACTGTAGATTATATTTGTAGATTATATTTGTTTGTTATAGTTTAATACACTGCACTTTAGTGCTTATAAAAAACTACCTACCATTATGAAAGAAATATTCAAAATAATAGTTTACATAAATATTCTGAAAAATATTCATTCCTTAGGATTTAATATATTTTTTACTATAAATTCTGTTCATATTTGAAAGTAAATCATTTTTATCATAAGTTTTGAGAAATATAAAGTTGGAAAAGTACTTTTTGGTAAAACATAGTTATATAGCTACGAAAGGGCTTTATATTTTACAATAAATTATATGCTTTTGCAACAAAAAACAAAGATAAAAGAAAAAAAAAAAGTATATTTAATTTATGCTTGTAAATATATAAACGTATGTATATCTTGAAGCATATCAAAAAGAAATTCGACTTTTCTAATAAATTTCAATATCTAACTTTTAATAATTACGACATCGAGCTTCTCATAAAATGAATTGTTCAAAATATTATTGATCACTCATATTGAAAATATCTTTCGATGAATAAACAATATGTAATTTAGACGAAATTAATTATACTTGCTGCGGCAAATTAATTTATTCTTCAAATCGTATCCTATCATGAGAGGTTTAATCAATATTATCATCATTTAATGACTTAAGCAAAGTATATAAATTATCATAATATCCATCAGTGTAATCTACTACATGTAAACATAAAAGGAAAATCCCCATGAGTATCTCTCTATCTTTGTGCCTATCGCCCTAAATTTTTTCTTAAAGCAAGGCCAATCTAATAAGTCAACGGCGCATACTTTAAAGGTAAAACCGACGGTAAATGCTAGTCCGTGTTCTTGGTTACGAGGATCGCTTTACCAAAGGGTGTATCGCCCCTACGTACTAAGCTCCGTATTTCCACTCAAAGCTCGAACAATTCAATAAAATACGAAGCTATCGCATACGGTCATGATGGATAACAATATGTTTATGATGAGTTGGTAGATAATAAGAAAGTAAAAGAGAAGATGAAAAAGGCTGGTAGAGGAGAGATAGATAGATTTAGTAATCCTACAAACAGACTCAAAGTGCTTGTTCAGCCAGAATCGCAAACTCACGTCGGGCGTTGACGGATATATCTTCAGCTATTATTTAGACTTTTTCAGAGAGTTTCTATCCTTCGGCCTTTATCTGCTTTTCCAATAAAAATAGGATGATTTACGCCTGTCTAGAAGATTCTTATAGGATACGTTGATCGCATAAATTCTCTATTTTTCCAATATCTCTTTTAAAACTGAATGCGATGTAATAACGATGTAGTTGAATGATTATATTTTTTCGAAAAGTAAGGAAGAAATTTTGGTTCCTATTGGATATGATATATAATTAAAGGCTATCATTGTGTGCGGATTCTCGTACTATTAATAAGCAATTTTTTCCCTTTCTTCTTATTTTTTTCTTCTTTTTTAAACCGATTTTTACTGCATTTTTACTGCAATATTTCATGTCATTTTTTAATAAATTATACTACTTGTAATTATTTCAAAATTATAACTATTGTATTGAACATTAATTTTGTTTTGTTTTTTTTTTGTTTTTTTTTTTTGTTTTTTTTTTGTTTTTTTCTTTTCTTTTTGTTTTTTTTTTTTTTTATATTTTATGAATCTTATTTAACGTAATAGAGACCAATATATCAAGTGACATATTTAATAAGCAAAATTTAGAATTTTCAATCAAATTAGATACTATATCAATATTATATCTATTAGCTTTTCATTAATATATTTATTAGGATCATAAAATAGATTTTTCAATATACAGTTGATTAATAGAATTTAAACGTTTTTATAATCGACGCTGTAGAAGACGTGTAAAGCAATTATTTTTTACATTAATATAAACGAATAATAATAAGTAAAAAAATATATAAAATTGCAGGCATATTAAATTTATTAAGCTCAATATATGAGCTTCTTTGATCCTTTAATTCCTTTATGGTCTGTTAATTACTTCATAAAAAAATAACCGAAACAAAGTAAAAAAAAAAATATAAATTAAAGTGAACTAATTGAAAATTCAAAAAGGATATTTCACAGAATCTCTTAGAATGTCATCAGGCTTTTAGTAGAAAAGTCTTTTAATAAATGAATATAATTGCATATGTAAAAAATAAAACCCGAAATTGCTTATTGATTGTTGATTATTTGTAAGAGTCAGAATATAAGATGAATGTAAAATGAAATTTTCTAATAAATTCATAAATCATAACAACCATGTTTTTATTCGTTGGTAATTGAAATCTTTCGGACTGAAATTCGAAAGAAACTCTTCATCTTAGAAAATAACAGGAGTCTCTTATGAAATATCATTTTTACTTTACACCAACCTATTTCTATCAAATATGTGATTTTACGTGAAGTACAAACAGTTACAAACAGTAAGTAATGGAAGTAGTTGTACAAAAGGGGAATCCATTTCGATCCTTGTCTCGAGCCATTTCTCTGGAAAGTAAACAACGCACGTGCTCCCTATATACGTCTCATATCCACTTGTTTTCCCAAAATACCAGATATCGAATACTAACCTGTTTCTACATTCTAATTCTAAACAATCAATGTATCACTCGAGATAAATAAAGTAGGTGAAAATATAATACAAGACGATAAATCTTATCGGTGATACGCAATCTATCCAGCACTTTTATCTTTTATATATATATATATATATATATATATATATATATATGTGTGTGTATATATACAATGTATGCCGTTTTAGGTATAAAAGAGGTAGAAATTTTCATGACCAACGAATCGAATAGAATAAGGTACCAATTTTTATTCGGAATACGTTAGGAATAAGAAGGGGTGGAAATTCGTTGTAAGAAAGCGACATAGGATATCTCGTTTTACTCAATATTGTTTGTATATTCACGACTCTTCTTCATAATACACTTTTGACTCGTTGATCTTATGACAATTTTAATGGAATGAATACCTTTTTCCTCTTCTTTCCGTATATTTTTAAATATATCTTCGGGTCAAGTTCATCTTAACATAAATATGAACTAAACCAATATAAAATTAATATACGATAAAATTACAAATGTTAGTATAAATTCCAGATCTAAAAATATATTTTAATCTCCAAATACAATAAAGGCATTGCTTAGTTTTTAACAATTTTACTTAAATTATATAAAAAATTTTCTATAAATAATAAGAAAAAAAATATATGTAAGACAATAATAATGGATTTATAATAAAAAAATCTGGTGAACATTTATAAGGAAATGTAATGTTTCCTCTGCCCATTGTAATCTTTAATTTAAAAGAAAGTAAAAGAAATGAAGTTCTTAAGCATTATAAGCAGAATTTAGTTACCCAGTTTCCATTTGTCCAAATGAGTTAGGCTTTGAATTTCCGCTGGAAGTAGTATTCTAGCGAAATCTTATCTGTTTGGTCTCGACAAGCTAACGATAGTATAGTAAGCTCATTCGGTATCTAAAATATATAAGAAAGCCATTGGTGAACTAATGATAAAAGAGTATATATATATATATATATATATATATAGAGAGAGAGAGAGAGAGAGAGAATAAAATTCAATTCAAGGAGAGGGCGAGAGAAAGTAATAGTTTCGTCGCTACTGGCGCTAAAGGATTTTTCTTGTTTCATTGTTTACTGCTGGGAAAGAGCAAGAAAGATTGAAATAGAGAGGGATAAAAGTTTATACGATTGTAGATACGTAGTGGATAAAGAGAGAAAAAGCATTATGGAAAAACCTGAGGGTGTTGCTCAAGCGCACTTTGGCCATCTTCTTTTTCCTCTTATTGGCTCCTTTGCAGTTTGATATGAAAAACAAATGAATAATAAAACCTAAAAGTGATTCTAAAAACGAAAACAAAAATACTGTTATTTTTAGTTCATAATAAGGTCAAATTTTGTAGAAAAATGAAGAATAACAGGCAGGCAAATGGTATGAAGTATATAAATAATATACCTGTCATTCTAGGCAGGTAAATTAATTGGGATCGTATGATCTCGGGATCTAATGAAATGAAATATACGAGAAATACAAAATAATTGAGATATGTATATTTGTAAAAAAAAGTAAAACAATGTTGCATTGTTGAAAAAAAAGAAAAAAAAAAAAAAAAAAGAATAAATAGTTGTTTTCATAATAGAATTTTTCAATTTCACTTGGTGATATTTCTATTCAAATCCAAGAAATTCAGCTTAATAAAATTAAAGATTTAATTTTATCGCGTTTGATGCATGATTTGAGCGAAGAACAAACAAAAAAAAAAAAAAAAAAAAAAAAAAAAAAAAAAAAACAAGAATCATGAACTATTATATTCACTGATAATGTCTGAAAAAGTTTGCCTCTTGTTTTTTCTATCTCCAACTTTTTCGTAGCCATTCTGCAAAAGAACTTTTTGATCGGCTAATTCTCTCTTTGAATCTTCCACATCCGTTACCTTGGATAATCAGACGGAAGCACTGGGTAATTGGAAGGTGGATCGATGTCCCGGTTACGAAGTCAAGTGTAAAAAATATATATAAACTTAGGAGAAAGAAAAAGGGTGTATTGACTAAGGGTATATAGGGCGATATAAATCTTGAATGAAATAATTAAAGAAGTGATTTCTGTGCTTCTTATTCGTTGGCTTTAACTTCCCTTCCACGAAAAAAGGCATTTTAATTAAGAAGCTAGATAGCCAGCCAATAAATAATAGACGAGCTGGTTAAAAAGGAGCACGAGAAGACCATGGCCATGTTAAATTAATTTTTATAAAAATATCTTGCCTGTTTTATTTCAAAATTTTAATATACAATCGCATACCGTTAATTATCTACGAAAAATTTGTCACTTATTATACAACTTCACCTACGCTCACAATTACTACCCTACAATACGAATTGTAAATGTCATTAATTATGCATTATATTAAACTAACGATGTATTCTCATCAAAATAACAATGTTAGACGATATCAATAAAGGGAATAGTTTATAAAATAATAAAAAAATAAGCAAAATATGACTTTGTAGAGTCCGAGCTCGTAGACGCTTTCTCGCGTCATACTAAATACCCTCTCATTGCGATTAAATTAAAGATGCATGAGACTTTTTTCAGGTGACGATGGAGGACACGAGATGCAGAAAATACCAGGACGACGGCTGTTCGGTAATCGTCGAGGTCCCGGCTGGTTATCAGAGCGACGAAACCGACGACGTCAATAGAGGCTCGTCGGATGACATGGCCGCCCGAGTCACCGATCAGCAAGCGCTCGTTCATCGCGAAGAAATCCCCGAAGATCGCTCTGGCGGTAAGTTTGCCACATCCCAGCAGTTTCATTAAGAATTTTAAGCCCTTTCTCGGAAGTACTCGTAAGTTGGCCGTATTCATGCACTGCTTGGCCGAAGGCTTTAACTCCGGATGGACCGTCAATTTTTTAATGATACGCACGAGTATTTGAATGGGAGTGACTTTATTTGTCTATTTGACAGCTGAGAAACGCTATCTTTTATATTATATTTCAACTTACAATTCCATGTAAATTGAGAAATTATGTATGAGCATTAATTTTATTAAATATTAGCCTTGTTATAATGAGCGTGACTGCTCTCCTAATGAGCTCTCAACTATTTGCGTTTGAAATTCAATAAATAGTTTTACGTTAGCGCAAGCTGACACGCGAGTGACTATATTTTGAACATTCACGTGCACACGTACGGATACGTATAATCACACACATTGGTTGTCGGTCCGGAGGCTTGGATATTATTCAGTCACGAACTAACGTAGACAGATACCGTCTGCAGTTGTGTACTCGATTTAATCTAATAATATTCAAGCATATTATCTCGCTAAGAGTGAACGTATTTGAACGCGGTAATTGCTGAAACAAAGTGGAAACATTTTTTCTACAAGTATAAAATAAAATATTATTCGATTATTGAAATGGAAGTATGTGCCGAATTTTAATGGAGAAGACGAATTGCGCTATAAGTTCGCAAAATTAATCATCGAAATTATTTTCAATTTTAATTTCTCATATTATATTATGATGTATGATATACGTTATTATTGCTGCACGTGCTTTTTCATTCTTATCAATAAGTTGGACATTTTAAGCAAATTAAAAAATGCCGAGGGTAATACGGTGGCAAATGATACGAAATGGTTATTATTTCAAATTATTTGAGCTGAAATCCTGAAATTTTATATAAAAATTACAATGTCAATGAGCTCATGCGTTATTTTGTAATTAAAATTTATGAAAAGCCCGATTTTATTTGTAGTATGTTCAACGATAAAAAAATCGGGCTTATCGCCTTTAAATATTAGAAAAACTTAATTTCTGCATGAGAGTAGCTTTACGTTTGTTATAATTTATGGCCAAAAACAGTACTTCCACATTCGTAAATAAATTACGTTTCATTTAAAAGAAAAGAAAACAAAACAAAAAAAAAAAAAATCAAAGCTTAGCGCAATTTCAGCATCGCGATTGTATTTGTTTTTGTGTGTTTGAATAAATTATAAAAAAAACGTATGGCTAAAGTAACATTAATGTAAAAGTAATAATCTCTAATTTAAATTTTAAAACAATTTTTTGGATAACCCGATTTTTAAAGAGATGAGTTGAGAAAGTTTGCAAAGAGTAGCAGCCTATTTATATATTTAAGTAAGATAAAACGAAAAAAAAAAAAAAAACTCGAGTACAAATTAAAGAGCAATATAATTTTATAGTATAATTTAAAATGTAAAATTCTATAAATAATATAATTTAAAAAAATTTTCATTTTAATAATATTCTAGATACGAGGTATTCTACACTTCTAGACTCGAGGAGCCTAAATTTCTTAACTCATATCTTTATCGCTCGATAGAATATCTATCTAGAAAATTTTTACTCAAAGCATAGTACGAACATTATATGACTCATAAGAAGTTACGAAATAGCTGATAAAAAGATTTGTTGATAGAGAATATTTAAGTGAACAAAAACATGTATTCACTTACGTTACTTAAATTATATCCTCGTATTTCATTAGCTAAAATAGGTCAATAAGCTTCGTAAGAGTAGTTATTTTATCGTACATCTTAAATTTTTATAATTAACACGCTGCCGTATCGCCAGATAATATAAGAAGAAATAAAAAATGTCTGAAAATATCGAGTGCTAAAGTAAAACGTGAGTGTTAAACTTGTGAATCCTAAATACCTATCCCCTATAGCTTGATAATAGAGTTCGTTGCCTAGAAACTCCTACACTTGCTGCTTTACGACGGCAACATGCATCTCTCCGCCGACATTTTTTTCCCTCGTATTCAAAGTACACTCGGCCATTGTTATTCAAATACTGGCAATGAGAGTAAGCAGCTGATGAAACGTTGCCAGTCCCGTCATTGGCAATTCCGCGATGCAATGACTCGATGAGCTGTCGAATAACATGTCGCCAACAGGATCGTATAATCCACGCCCAAGGCTCCATTACACGCGTTACAAAGTGTAATTAATAGGTATTGGTTATGTAGGCGACGACATAGGTGGTACGAGTACGCAGCGTACGTCTAGCCCCAATATCCGGCGGCTCGGTATCTCCTTATCCGTCCCTCATCGCCGAGCAAACTGTCTCTGCGGTATTTCCTTCGCAAGCACTAAGCAAGCACTCGAAAATAACTAGAGAAATGTGTCATTGAAAAGTGGCCAAAGAAAGCAACACGTGTCGTAGTTGTGTAGAGACGGTGCTACTCGCGTGAAAATAACGATTGGAATTGGAGGGGCGGGGGAAGGGTCTGCGCACGACGGCCACGCTCGTACGCTCGGGTCTCCTGTCGCCTGGCGACAGGCAGGACTCGTCCGGAAGCTGCGGGAGGGAGTGCTGACACAGTTTAATCGGGGCCGTAAACGTGCGCCAGTGGCTTCTAACTGACCTCCGCGTTGTATTTATAGCGAGATTGCAGCGACGGGTCGTCATCTTCGTGTTTACATCTCGTGGCGCATCTCGCAAAAGCTTGCGCCTGCGTTTCCCAGATAACGCCCCCGTCACCGAGAAAGTAGAACGGCCATCCGGAGCCTCTGTTTTTGGAATGCATTATATGCGCGCGCGTCCGCTGCTCTTTCCCGCATCACTGTCAGCGCGTCCGGAAAAATGGCACGTACTCGCTTATAAAAAAAAAAAAAAAGTAAAAACAATTTTCTAGCTTTTAATATTGTAAATTTAAAGCTGACTGGGCTGAATTTTGAAATGCAGTTGCCCGCTCGATAAATAATGTTACTCGACAGTGAACTATTTATTCCAGTCACGGCGACCGAGTCAATTGACCCTTATGCCTACGACATATAGCATTAGTCATCATTCCTATTATTTCTCCGCTTTCGTTATAAATGAATAATTAACCGTCGCAGCCATTTCTTTCTCGCCGTGTATTACCGAAGCATTCAATTAAATCGAAATAAAAACGAGATAATATAGGTGGGAAGAGTGATGGGGATGGGATGGGAGACGGGGGGGGGGGGGGGGGAGTAGAGAGGGAATTATTAGTAATTTTCGAGAACCAAATGTTATTGTTGTTTTTGCACAGCGCCGCTGATTCGATTGTCGAGCTTTCGAGATCGAATGCGCATGAAGCCAATTTGACAAATATGGACTAATCGCACGCGTAGAGCCCGGCGCTCGGCAAACCCGATGAATCTATTTTATATTTATAAGAGATTAGTAGGAGAAGCGATTTAGCAATGGCGCACTATTCGTACAAAAAGACGATCTAGCAACTAATTCAAATAATATAGCATAATCGAGGAACGAGACTCTAGCCTCACGAGATAATATTTTTAGCCTTCAGCAACACGAAGCTGTTTGGCAGTACGAACACGGGCCTCTCGCAGTCGGACCTCTCCATTTGCAGTCAGGGCTCGGTCAATCCTAGCTATCGATATGGAAATCAGCTGGAATACGAGGCCGGCCACTTCGGCTATCCGATGTACGGAGCCGAATGCGACTCGATAATGGATTCTGCGCGAAAGTCGTCGTGGGCCGCAACAAATACCAAGTGGGTCGAATTCGACAAATCGCCCGACACTGAGAACGCACTCCTTCAGGACCTCAAGGCTCAGGGAAGCCGCGGGAAAGACGACCCGGACTATGTAAGACATTACATTCCTTATGCTAATTACTTTAGCTATGAGATTCGAGAACGCCGGGCTTGGCTTATCGAATGAATTTATTTATGAATTTATATTTATAACGACTGCCGATGATATTTGCAAAATCGCCATTACAAGCGTTCCATAAGAATGGGGTAATGGGACGCTAAGTTTCGCACCTATTAAGTGACAAAAGTCTGCATAAACAATATTCCGGGTAATAATTAAATTTTATTTTAAACGTTATTTTATACTTTAAGAAGAGAGCTCAGATGACTAATAAGTTCTTTCATTCGTGTATAAGTGCTACTCTTCGTCGACTCTTTGTGTCTAAAGTTTTTGATCTTAGTAGTTCTGAAAATTCACGTTTTTTCATCACTTATTCGCATTGCTGAATTTTTAATCGCCTAATGTAAACGTCTCCCATTACCTAATTTATAACAATTTATAATTATATATATATATATATATATATATATATACATTATATATATACATATATATTTAATTTTCTCTTATATAGGGCATAAAAAAATTTACCGTAAATTTTAAAACGACATTAAACTCTATTTAAAGCAGCTTTCTCGACCCTTCATACTTCAACTGATTTTGCATTTTTAATGAAAAATGTTTGAAAAAGTTTTATTCAAAAACCAGAAAGAGTCTTTATATTTTGTATTAATTTATCTTTTTACATTACATGTACGTGAAATAATGCGTTAACTAATATATTAACAGTATTAGAATACCAATACTTCAATCCTTTTGTATCGATATTTTTTTTTAATTTCATTTTAAAATTATTTGCTCGTATTTGCTATTGTAAAACGGTAGAAAAGAAGAAAAAAGGAAATAAGGCTTCTAAAATAAAAAAAATCATAAAAATTACGAATAACGAAGTCATTTATATTTTACCGGGTAACCTAAATCACATTAATCTTATGTAAATGAAAAAGTATTTTGCATATAAATAATATTATGCGTCAAAAAGATATATTGAAATTAAAGTATTTTATTTTATTAATTTTGAATAAATTGTAAAAGTATGATGGGCATTCAGTGTGTCAATTTAGAAGTAAAAAACATAAACTGACAATTTTTAAACTATCAATATTTCAGGATGGTAATGTAACATTAAATTTGATGCTTCGTATTTGATTATTCTCGTTTTTTTTTAATTTTTTTTCCTTTTAATTCAATTTAATTTAATTTAATTGATTCGCTGAAGCCCCATATATGATAAAAATTTATAAAATAACCTTAAACAAACGTATGCACGAAAATAATGTATTTATAAAATAATAAATATAAATTTTAAATACATAAATAAGTAAATAAATAAAATTCATATAAATATTAAAATTCGTAAAATTGAAATAAATCAATTTCTTTAATTTTAAAATATCTTCATTTCGGATCAACGAGGTTAATAAATGAAAGTATTTTCAGATTGAAATTTATTAAAGTAATTTCACGTGTATTAAATTGTTTTATTATTATCATCTTCTATTTTACCTATAATATCACATATAATATTGCATATTATTGGAACGATTATTTGAAAAAAACGAATAAACTTAAGCCTTTAAAATATTGCAAAGTAATATGTCGATAATTATATAGAATATTGTAATTATTAATGGATAATAGCTTGAAATTCATTTTTGTAATAATGATAATCGTCCAGGTATAATTAATAGATTGCGCATTGCTTTTAATATAATTTAGAATCACGTTAAAAAAATAATCAATTTTGTTATATCTCCTGATTAAGCTCGTAATTCCTAATGAAAAATTATATAGCTATCTGAATGATTTTATAATTGCAACTTATAATTGAAAGCGATTAATTAATTTTTATATAATTATGCAAAAACCAATTGGAAGTAAAATTTTTATTTTTAGTATCAAATATCATACTTTCATGAAGATTTCATTCTGTTTCAAGATTAATTGAATTTTAAATGTTGAAGCTTTCGCCCTGCCTATTTCCGGCCTGAAAATTGTATAATGATGAACCAATGAACGCAATTATTAGAAAAATTTTTTATAAAATTTACTCTAAAAGTTTTACACGTGTAGAGAAAAATACTTGAACTTCGGTCATAATTAATGAACTTGATAGTTCAATTGATTATGAATGTGTAAGCAAAGTCACTCAGAGACTCATAAATCGATAAATTAAATTTCCATGCTCTCGTATCTAACAGTCTTCTTGTTCCAGCAGATTCCCGTGTCGAACAGGCACAACAATAACAACAATAATAACAATAAGGGATATTCGCAGCATTCGGAGTTGTCTGCGCAGTCGAAGGATTCGCTGGAAGCTAAAGGATCGATCGCTACTATTGTCCATTCTAATACAAATCTACATATAAACGGCGCGATGTCCAATAAGTTCGAAAACATAGAACAGGAAATCCCCGATATCGATTTGATGATCAAGGGGAACGAGGCGAGTTCGTCTTTCACGAAACCCGTGATTACCGGTGCAATCCTCAAGGACGAGGTGAACCTCCAGGAGGATACGTTTCAGGAACAGCAACGAAAGCTCGGCAATGGCACTCTAACACCCGAGCACAAACAAACCGAACAACATATGGACAAGAGTATCCGAGTATGCTTATCATTTAATAAATATAACAGATAATTACGTAAACTGAGAACTTTTTTTCATTTAAACGTTCGAAAGTCTGTCGCGCTAAATAAAGGAGACTCGATACAAACGAGTCTTGTGTCTCGAATAATTAATATCCTGTTAATCAATTGAACGATAAAATCAAAATCTATCGCCTATATTATCTATTTCCAAGGAAAATATTAAATATCGGTAGCCCTTATGCAACAACAATATCAGCCAACAATACTCCGGGCACATTATTTACAAGGAGCACCGATACTTTCTGAAAATTCATCAACGGCTCCTCAATTTAATCTGCCCACATAAATGTCTTAAGCAATAAATGTCAAAAGCATTAGAAAAATGTATACCTCTTGCTTGAATGTACAGTCGGAGCCGAACAACAAGGAGCAGAATAATGTGGTTACGAGGCCGGAGGGCAGTGCCTTCGTCCCGAGTCACAAGCGTAGCTGCAGCATACCCCCGCGACTCATCGAGGAAAGCCTCGAGATCGAGCGCAAGAAGCCTCTAGACATATACAGTCAAATTAAGACAAGCACGAAGAGCATATTACCCGGTCTCAGCCCCAAGTTCGAGCTCCTGCAGAACGAGATCAGCCCCGTCGACGACAAGGAGAGTTAATCCGTCCTCAAAGGAAGCTTCGTGTTCCATTTTTAGAAATTTTCTTTTTACTTTGCTGCTTAATCACACGTCCGACTGGCTCCCCTAATTCTCTTTTATTACCTCTACTTTCATTAATATCATTGGCTCGGCTAATAATTTTCTACCGATGTTTGATGCGATAAGCAATGATGCTTATTTCCTCTGTCTCTTCGTTCTTCAAATTCACATTATGGATACGCATACTGGATCCTTAATATTCTGCCATGAAATCCCTCATCTACCAATGTTCGTCATTAATTTGCATAATTGTTGTAATGCGCGCACGAAAGTAAAATGTACTCGACGGTTAGAAAAATTGAATCGACACGTTTTTGGTAAGCGTGCTTCGTTCAATGATTCCGTAATGTCGTCCTTGTAGGAAATGTTGCGCTTACATCACCAAGACAGATAATTAATTAGAAATTTTATGAATTTACGAGGAGCAAGAAGCTCGTGAAATATTGAAATTGGTCAAATCGAGGGAAAGCGCGGGTGAATTGTGAGACGAAGGTTCGTGGTAAAATCGACATTTATAATATAATGAAACCTATTGGTTTTTAATCGCTTCGGTCCATTTACGATATTAATTAATCATAATTTGCGCGAATAATTTTCTCAATACTTAACCGCGAAAATATCAAAATACACAATAATCTTTTTAGTCTATTAATAGCAATTATTAATTAGCATGAGAGTTTTTTTGATAGTTCTGTATTACCAAATGAATTTTTTATAATTAATATAAATTTTAAGAACTTTATAATTTAATTGCTATTACATAAAACATTTAATCTTACGATGTTTGCGTTTTGAATTGTAATATTTATTTTAATTTTTAAGCCTACCCTGTATTCTATCGTTATTAATTATTTATTAGATTATTTATGTTAACATCGTCTAAAGGACCATTCTATGTATTGCGTTTAAATTTTTGTAAACAATGAAAATGTCCATTGTTAGCTTTGTTAAGACATAACATATAAATTATCTAACTGATATTGTTCTATAATAACTACCGTAACGAGTTACTCGAAGCTTTTCGGGATCGAAGTTCGAAATATTGTTCGCATTCCCTATTATATTAAGGTACACTTTATATTTAAGAATACAAATGACAAATGTTTAAAAACAATTTCATCAAAATAAATTTCCCATATTCGTAAAGAACAATTTCAAATGCCAAACTATCTTTTTTTCCACTTTAGTCTTTCTTTTTATGTATTATATGGAGCCTTCGTCAACGTAGAAGATAGAAAAAAAAAAAGTTTTATGTTGCAGACACCAACCATGAAAAACAATTGTCCACTAATGAACCGAACGCGTAATGTGCATTAGAAACTGAGTCTCGGAGAGTCGAAGAAAGAAACTCAAAGTACCACTGCTTCCTTATTCTCAATATATGTGGCTCGAAATACTAATGCGCGCACAATAATTATCTAGCAATTTCAAAAAATAAAAAGTAATTTCAACATTACGCTAAACAAAATCAAATCAAAGAATATTAACATTTACACATACTTTCGACTTACGACTTAATTCAGTCAACTACGTTCATTATTAAACTTTAGCAAATTCACGTTCAATCTAAAAATCAATACGCAATATCGATATTGTCGACTTATTTCTATTGCAACAATAATTTACGAATTTTGTTCGAGTAACGAAAAAAATATTATGAAACTTTTTACTTTTCGATAAATATTTTCGTTCCACCGTTTCAAAATATTATCGAGTTGGAATAATACTGTAAAAAATTTTTAATAAAAATAATAAAAATACATCGACATGACACATTTATAAGAATTGAAATATATTTTTATTATTGAGTATACTCGGTTAATTTACTTAGGAGATAATTGCATCACTGGAAAATTTGGATAAAACAAATAATTTAGAATGCTAGGATAAAACCTTTAAACTTTAAAATAAATGACAAGTTTTGTGTCAGTTTACCACACATTACCATATATTGATCTTTTCATTATTTGATAAATTACAATCCATCGTACTGTAAGATATTCACGATATATAAAGTTGAAAATCATTAATAACTAATAACAATAATTTCCATAAATTTCTAAATAACATAAAATTAATCATCATTTTCAATATCTTAAAATCAATGTCCGATGCATTGATGCATCGACTGTAGCAATACATTTCAACATAAGCTTTTCTCGTGAAATCAACGTTTTGCTTCAAATCTCAATTAACAGCCCATTAATGGGCTGAATTTATGGTGCTTAATGATTTTACGCTTTCCCCGTGTTAATTGAAATTTGTGCAAAGTTTTGATATATTAAACTAATATAATATTAAGAAATACATGGCGCATGCAATTGTCATAACCATTTAACCCAGCTTTTAACGCAATAGTCGAGTTTATTTACGGAATGTTAGTCAGAGAGAGTAGATTTTAAATTTAGTTACAGAAAAGTGGGAAGGCCACTGGCATCATCAGCGACAGTACTACCAAAGCAATTGACCTCACACGCGCGAATTAGATAAAGTCAGGTAGTGTACATTTGTGTATTTGCAAGGGTTGAGGGTGAGAGGGGCTCGTTACTTTTGGTGACGAGGAGACACTGGACGTGAAGTTATAATGGGGAGTGGTGTGATGCTTGGAAATGAAAGCGAGTGAATGAGAGCGGAAGAGAGATACTACCGGGTTGGAAATGGACGGCGGTCGTTTCAATTCACGGCAAGTAAGCGAAATTCGCACGGTCCAAGCTCAATTTGGAAAAGGACGGAAAAGTTAGACAAACTTAGTTTGCGGGTGCGCTACGTAAATGCACGCATCTAGGTGGATGTGCGGTTATCATGCTTCGAGTTCCAATTATGAGGTACGATAATAATTAGTCAACCGAACATCGCTTGTAATAGCGAAATATTTAGCCAAATATTTAGCAACATTTTTAGCTGAAATTTAAACAGCTCTCTCGTCGGCTAAATTAATACGGGACTTTGAGACGAATCTTTGTGAAAACTTTGGCTATTTGTTCGTTTAAAACGATAGAACGGGAAAAGTTTGTATTAGCAAATTAATGAAATACGTGAAATGGTAAATTCGCAGATACAAGAATTTGTAAGATTTCTATTTTTTGTCTTGTTAGCTTTGGCCGCTGTATCGAATAAAACAACACTCATTGACTAATTTACAAGGATACGTTCTTTTAATAGAGCATATAGTAGGCCGATAATATTAGAATTATGATTCATCATGAGTGTCATGCGAAACTGTGAAATTGTTGTACGCGGTTTGAGAAATTGTAAAACGCACGTGTAAATATACGCAAACAATTATCAACCGATGTTTTATATCAAATGCTTCGACTCGTTAATTCTGTTAATGCACATTTACCAGGGTCGACAAAAAAAAAAGAAAAAAAAAAAAAAGAAAGAAAAAAAAATTAGAAAAGAAAAGAAAAAAAAGAAAAAAACGCCAAAATAATAATAAAAATATATTCTTAATGACGGATTTGTGTAAAGAGTAATAGTATAAAGTACATTTTATCATCACAGTAACGAACTAACAATTTATACATCACTTGTGAAGCTGTAGAAATATGTTTGCAGAATAGCTCAACAAGGTCTTTTAGACTAAGCCATAGTAATTTATCGTAGAGGACGGAAAATTTTATAACGATTCGTAATATCTATAATGCATGTAATATCAGATACACTAACCGACGCGCCATAATCTTATTAAAAAAGATTTTCTATCGAATTATAATGGTGACGAATGTATACAACAATAGATTTGGTTGAGCAGAATCATTACGTCAGTATTATTGATCGATATCACTGATAATTATTAAACATTTGTACCATCAGCAATGTAGAGGCCGAATAAAACTCTTCCGTTGTGTCTAGAATAAACTTTAGAAACTGTGCTGTAATCTTAATAAATAAGGATATCATCGTTATTTTGTTTAAATTTTTCATTAACTAAACAACAATATTAGATTTTGTACGAAATAAAATAATGGATTCGCGTGACCGACAAATGGCATCATTAAAGATAAAAAAAAAAAAAAAGATGATAAAATTATCGAAATATTTCGTTTAAATATTTTTAATTTTTTTAATGTAATGCGTAACATTTAGATATTTTTGTTGCTTTCTTTACGTAAAGTTAATGAGACGAAAGGTTCAATTTTTATACCGAGATATCTGTAATAATCTACATTGGCTCAATAATATATTAGCTCGATGATTTAAATGATCACAAGTTATGTTTATAAATAAACTTGTGCCCACATATTGTTATTCATACTTCAAATTTTATATGTTTACGTTACATGTTACACTGACTATGATTATTATCGTTGTTGTTGCTCTGACGCGTTAAACTGGCGTAAAATTATTCTATACATGTATACTTACTTCCCAGGATGATGGATTCCATAGGATTAGAAAAATAATTATCCGATTAATGAAAACAAAATTATTTCAGAAAAGCAACGAGCATTCACGAATAATTGAAAAATATATTGTTTTATAAAATAGACAAAGAATATTAGAAATTGTCGATAATTTCTACGTATGAATATGATTTGAAATTTCAGTTTACTTCGAAGCTATATTATATTAATATTATATAAGACTTTTACATAATACCATAATCAACATAATTGAAAATCAATTGTTCAAAATAATATCAATTTCTATACATAAAAAAATCAAAATTAATTTATTACCTTAAAATTCAATAACTCTTATTTAAATGTGAAAATATTTAGGATCCATGTAAAACAAAACGCTGTACGTTTAAATATAAAATTACCTTGATTTTATAAAGCAAATCTTTAAATGCTTCGTGTATTCATAAAATTTGCAATCTTAATCTTATCTACCTGAAGTTTTATGATACATAAAGGAAAAACAGAGATGTACATATAAGCTTATAAGTTTTTTCGATCGATCGATGGATTTTCAATAATTTATGTAATATTTCATACTATCTTAATCATAACAATTTACTTCTAATTACGATACTACTTTTTTTCTCTTCATGTTGGAAGAAATTTAGTGAAAATTAGATTATCATGATTTCAAGTAGT